AAGATGGGGTTGAAGATTTTAGGGGGGGGAGAGAGAGAGAGAGAGAGAGAGAGAGAGAGGAATATTTTATTTTTGTTTTATTTTTTATTTTTTTTAATTGTTGTAATAAAAGAAAAATGGAAAATAAAATAACAAGGGGCAAAATCGTCTTTAAAAAAAGTTCAAACCAAAATGGACCAAATACGCAACAAAATGAAAAGTTTGGACCTCTGGTGCTAGTTCAAACTTTTTTGGACCAAAGTGGCAATTTTAAGCAAACCACGGGGACCATTTGTGCAGTTTAGTCTTTATATAAAGTTTTAGATTATTTGATGACTAAACTGCACAAATGGTCCCTGTGGTTTGCTCAAAACTGCCACTTTGGTCCAAAAAAGTTTGGACTAGCACCACAGTCCAAAGTTTTCATTTTGTTGCGAGTTCGGTCCAAAGCACTTTAAAAATTCCTCAAATGACGGATTTGCCCCTTTCTATTTGTTTTTTCGTTTTCTTTTTTTTCCTTTATTATTATTTTATTATTTAATTATAAAGGGTCCCACCTTCTCTCTCTCTCTCTCTCTCTCTCTCTCTCTCTCTCTCTCTCTCTCTCTCTCTCTCTGGAATCCATTCTCACGACACAACCACCCATTTTTTATTTAGGGACTTTAACGACTTGCTTCAAAGAATTTTAAATGCCAAATGATGGCTTAAACAGAAATTTGTGAAGCCAAATTACTGAAAATTAATGAACATCACTAAGAACTAAAAGTTGCAATATGGAAAGATCATTCAGACAAAAGATCAAACACTTGGTGGGCATCAACCATACTTTGTATATGAAGATGCAGCAAGAACGGTCTTCACATGAGAAAGAAGATAATAATTATGCTTGTCAAACACTCGATTCATACAACATAGATTAACTCACACACTTCAATATCATGTCATTGGGTTGAACCCACCAGGCAAATCGATTCTGCATCAAAAATTAAAACCAATTTTCTCAAACGCATAGGGTACATCCAAAACCTGCGACTCAAGTATGTGTGTGTGAGTGAGTTTGATGTGAAGACAATCAGGCAAAGATTATGATTATCAAGCTTACCAGAACTTTGATCTTGATCTCGATCTCCCCGTACCCCCTTCCTCTCTCAATTTTAGGAAATTAAGAAAATTGAATTGGTGCACCATTCTATCTACATTTTCTTATAGATAGAACTAGGAGAGAAGTGGAAATGGTAGTTCGATTGAGAACCGGTTTTACAATCGGAAGGAGATGTCGTTTCTTTGTAGATTTCATAGTGGATTCCTTAAACCCACTAGCCGCCAACGAACAGAGGTACCCCATTGCTGACGTGAATCAAGTCGATTCAGCCAACAAAGTGCTAAATTGGATGAAAAGTCAAAGGGTTTTTACAAGGGGGGTTCATTGTAGAAGACGATGAACAATACTTGCCTCAATCAAGTATGCTCAGACCTTGTTCCTCACTAGCTTCGTCTTTTTCCATATCTCTATTCTTCCATGGATTCAGAAAAAGAGAACGGTAATGAAATCGTTGTTGGTGAGTTTGGGTTGCAAGGAGGAAGAACAAGGGGAAGGGATTGTATGTTCTCGATTATATGTGTTAATGTGTGTATACATATACGTTCTTTATTGTGTATGTATGTTCTCTCTTAGGAGCAAAATAATCATTCATCAGATTCTATATATGTTTTTGAGGAAGA